ATTAAGAGTATGAAAAAGTGCCAACACAAACCCAGGTGTATTTGACTCCAGTGTCTCTTATCTCTAAAGTTAAGGGCGTGGTGGCGCCCGCCCTATGGCAAAAACCTATGGAGGCTGGAGGATTGAGGCATCGAGTCCATCTCATATCTCTAAAGTTAAAATGTATTCTCTAGATATTTATAGCTTCAAATTGTTTTAAAACACAAATATAATGGCATGGACTAAACAATAAAAGTCAAAGTTGTTAGGAACCCAAAAGTAAAAGATAATTTTAATCCTAGGATGTTATCCCAACAAGCATTTGTCATTTCAGAAACATACACACATGTGCACACACATTGATAACCCCTAGCCAAAAAAAAAAAATACTGCATTATGGAAAACCTCTTAAATTATGCTGCTAAGAAAATGAATTTTAGTAATTTTCAAGTACTATGTAGAAAAGTGGTAACTGCCTCTGACTAGTAAAGGCTTGGTTATTTAAAAAAAACAAAGTCAGGTACTGGTCCCATAACCTAGTGGTTAAAGGAACCAGATCCCTTATGACTGACCATGGTTTGAATCCTGAAAAACAAGCTGGCCATGTGTGCATGTGGTCCCTAAATCCCAACAGGATGAAGAAATGGAGGAGACAGGACTAGGGTATGACCACTCATTGGGGGGGGTCCTGCCTCCCACCTCTCTGGTGAGTACACATGCCCTCTGGCAATTAAAAAATAATAATTTCTATAGCTATGTAAACTACTATACGTTAACATGAGTATTCATCTATTTTTCTTTTCTTAAAAGATAGAGTCATTGGGGACCAGCAGTTAGCATAATGGCTATGTCGCTGGACTCCCATGTAGTTGACCGTGGTTCGAGTCCTGGACCCAGTGGCTTAAACTCACACCGGGTGCATGTGCGTGCGTGCCCAAGATCCCAAGAGGAGAATGGAGGAGAAGGGATTGCAGCGTGGCCATCCCACGTGGGTGGTGATTTCTTGCTTTCTGTCTCTCTTTCTCTCTCTGTTGGGCAAGCACACACACCCTATAGCAAAGACCTCTCCAAAAAAAAAGAGTCACTATATGCTGATCTCATAGAAATGTTTAAGGAGGTGCTGGCAGGTAGCATGGTGGTTAAAATGCTGGACTCCCATATGGCAGACTGTAGTTCAAGTGCCAGATCCAGTGGCTTGGTTTCTCATTTCCCCTCTCTTTCACTGTCTCTGTGGCCAAATTAGAAAATAATAATGAGACCAGCAGATGGCATAGAAGTTACATTGCTAGACACCCACATGGCTGACTATGGTTCAAATCCCAGACCTAGTGGCTTCAAAATCAGATTCTGGGAAGAGAAATGGAAGAACAGGGATTATGGCCTGGCCTTCAGCCCAGTCTCACTTTCCCCCTCACTGTGTCTGACTCTGGCGAGTGCACATGCCCTAAGACAAAAATAATAATAATAAATAAAATAATAATTTTTTTTTTTTAAAGAAATGTTTAGGGGACCAGCAGGTGGCGTGGTAGTTAAAGTGCTGGACACTCCCACATGACTGACCATGGTTCGAGTCCTGGATCTGGCAGCTTTCTCTCTCTCCCTGGTCAAATAAAAAATAAATAAATACATGAATTTTTAAAAAATTAACAAATACACCACTGGGAACCAGTAAAATATGAACCCAGTGTTTAACTTATGTTGACTCACCTCTTAAAGATAGCACTTTTTCTTTTAGAAACTTGGCGTCAACCTATCAGGATAAACTTGGATCACAAGTTTACAGCTATGGGCCTAAGGACATCCTTGGAACAGTAACACACACACACACACTCTCTCTCTCTCTCCTTTGTTATGGGCACTTGAATGGTGCTGCTTCACAGAGGCTGCCCCCCCAGTCATGAGGATCTCCGACCACAGCTCCAGGAAGTTCTGCTGCTGGTCTGATACCAAGAGTACCTTGAGATTCTGGAAAGGGTTTTCACGTGGTTGCCTATGAAGGAGTCAGAGACACAGCCTTTGGAACTGGAAGGGACATTATCATGACAGAAAATATTTAACAAACAGTCCTGGGGCCAGCAGGTGGCGTGGTAGTTAAGGGTGCTGGACTCCCACATAGCTGATCACGGTTCGAGTCCCAGACCTGGCAGCTTGTTCTCTCACTTTCCTTCTCTCTCGCTCTGTCCCTCTCTTGTCAAATTAAAATAAATAAATAAAGTTGAATACAATAATTTAAAAAAAAAACCCTTCTACAAAGGGACTAGTATACATCTGAATGTTTTTAAAACTACGCCCTGTAATTAGGACAGCCCTGTATTATCCCCCTTTCTGTGAATAATGTATATTCTTCTGGGATGCTGATCTGATCCCACCCTCATGATTTCCACATTGGTCCTAGGGCTGAGAATAATCCAAATTAGGCTCCTAATCTTGTTTTTTTGTTGTTTTTTTTGTTGTTGTTGTTGTTTTTGAGAGATTTTTCCTACAGGGCTTGTGTGCTCAGAGAGTCCGAGAGACAGAGAGAGAGAAAACAAGAAATCACTCCCGCAGGAGGGATGGCCCCACTGCAGTCTCCTCCTTTCTCCTCTCAGGATCCTGGGCACATACGCACATGCATCTGGTAAGAGTTTTCGGCTGCCAGGTCCAGGACTCAAACTGAGGTCGACTACAAAGGAGTCCAGTGATCACCATTACACCATCGCTAGTTTCTATATTTTTAAAATCCTTATCTGAAATTTAATTCTCTAACCTTATAGGTTGAAAACACTGAAACTATATACAAATACTCACACATTTCTAAAAGTTTACTAATCAACATATCCTGTGAAAATAAACTAGCCGAAATGCTGAAATAATTTCAAATGTATCAGATTCTGTCATTTATATTGCAGCTATCCGGTTTCTAGAACATTTACTCTCTTATCTAGATTCTCCTCTGTCCAAAAGCTTGTCTTCCTACGTACTTCCTAGGACATATACTGAAACCATCTAGAATACTTACCAATCCAGGATTCTTTGTTCCTCAAGGCTGTATCCAGCTGGCAACAGGTAATTTCGGTAATTCTGGAGCTGGTTGGCATGACAGCTGTCATGGACCCAGACATGAGAAACACAAGGAATCCCACTGGCAAGGCACAGGAAGTACTTCCGGGTTCGACAATGCTGATCAGCAATTAGGAGACACTGGTAGGCTGTATTACACTGTTAAAAAAGGAACAGAGTCAATGGGTCTGGTGATTTTTTTTTTTTTTCTTTTTGGAGAGATTTTCGCTATAGGGCGCGTGCACTCACCAGACAGACAGAGAGAGACATAGAGACAGAAAGCGAGAAATCATCCCCCAGGGGAGATGGTCACACCGCAATCACTTCTCTTCTATTCTCCTCTCAGGATCTTGGGCACGCACGCACACGCGCCCAGCATGAGTTTTAAGCCACCAGGTCCAGGACGCGAACCGCAGTCGACTACGTGGGAGTCCAGCGACATAGCCATTACGCTAATTGCTGGTTCCTGGGTCTGGTGATTTCTATGAAAAGCTCCTAAAGCAGCCCTAATGAGCCATGGAGACCATATCTGAAGAATTCCAAATACTTTCCAAAATGTGATTTAGTCTGTCCTTCTGCCCACAGCCTCTTTTCTCACTAACAGTCCCAAAGGGCTTTCCTAGACCCCTCCCTGCCTCATCTGCAGCTTTCTGAGGGCCTCAAGGAATAAGCAAAACCATGTGCTCAGCTTTCAAGAATCATTAGCAATAACGAGGATTTTTACTATATACATATCTCAGTCTGCTTTTGTCTCAGCAACAGAGTCATAGCTATTAACTAACCCAAGGTTGTAACTTGCTTATCTTGGAACTCTCTAAATATCCAAACTCTCTGACTCTTCTGAGGCCTCTTTTTGCAGTATAGCAAGTAGGTTCTTTCCATTGTCACTCTCGGAAGTTACACGAAGAAATTCCTTACCTGGGCTTCATTGAAATCTTCAAGGATATAGCCAGCTCCTGCTCGAAGCTGAGATTCTGTGTACTGCTTGTTGAAAGGAGGAATCTCTAAAAATTCTAGAAACAGAAAACCAAGATCATCAATTATTACTGAGTTGTTTGGGTTCTCATTTGTCATTTTATGCCTGCTTCTTAAAACCCCTTTCCTGCACAACAGAATGTCCCAATGCCAAGTCAATGGCTTCCCCATGGTGAAAAAGATTTGTCTTGAGGTCTATAAAATGCTGTCCCAAGAAGGGACAAGAGCAGGAGGGGCTGGGAAGACAGGAATGGGGTAGAGCCTAACCTAACACCAGTAGAAAGGTTCCTGTACTGAGAATGAGCCATGGGACCTCACAGAAATGGACACAAACACTTCCCACAGTGACATTCCGATTTGAATAACCCTTATCATTCATTATGAGTTCTATGTCTACCCTGACGTTTCTAAACTAAACAAATACCCATTTCTTCTAGTTCTGCCTTCTATGGAGATGAATAGCTGATGGGACTAATAAAGCCTTTAAATTCCTACTTCATCAGCCTTTTTAACCCCCTTGATACACTAAAACTTAATAACCTAGAATTCTCAAAGAAAATATGGCTTTTAAAATTTAACTAAGTGAAGGTTAGTCAGAAATCCTGTTTCAACCTTTTTATCGAAAACTATCTACCTTTGATGATCTTGAAGTACCTCAGGACACTGAACATCAATGACTGCTCTACAGTCTTGAGGGTGAGTAGAAGAAATGAGAGATGAGGCTGAAGCTGTAATGACCCTAGGCAATTAGAAATTGCTTCTTTTGATCAAATATCTAATTTGAGCTTGTTTTCTTGTCATCTGCTGCTCTCATATATAAATAGCGCATTAAAAAAAAAGAAAAGAAAAGCAAGACATTAGCAATTTTAATTCATTAGGAGTTCAGAGAAATTAAGTTCTAATTAACTGAAAAACCCCAATAACAAAGTTTAACCAGGACCACTCCCTTTTCCCTCATACCCAACAGGAAACCCTTGCAGAGATGGCTCCCCTTTGGTGCCCTCCCTTCCTGTTTGCACTGTTCAGGCAGCACTGAGGCCTCATCCCAGATCTCTCGGTCTTTGACCAGGCTGGCTAAACGTTTTGGGATGACTGGCCAGCCTGTATACTTCTATTGCTCTTTTCTTGATTCAACATTCTTCTCAAAACGAAAGCTCGGGTTAGAAGCTCTGAATAGCTGTAAGAAACTCAGAATATAACAGGGCTATTTCTCAGCTTTGTCAAAGCATCCTTTATTGATATCTCAATATATTATGTCAATCTTCAGCACCAAGACTACTGCTGAGTCATTGCTAACCTCCCTTTATTTTTCATAGGACTTGTATTATATGTCCATTTAATCTAGGACTGCTTTGGGTTCCTGACCTATTTAAATTTTAATCCTTAATTTTATATTGCCTTGCATTTGGGCAGTATATTTCTCTAATTTTTTCTAAATAGGAATTCAATTTTCTTTACTTAAGGTATGAGTATCCTGCCCAACTGGAGGCTAAAATGAATAGGTTGTTATTTCTACCATCCAAATCAAGGATGAAGGTACTAAGTAAACTCAACTCCATAGTCAACTCCCGTGTCTGACAGATCCCTCGTGGTATGTCACATAACAAAAATGGGTGCCATATTCTTAACTTACTAATTAATATATCTCATAAGATGGATATAAATATTTTACTGAGCTTCTGTTATAAACTGGCATTTAAGAATCTCCATCTATATAACAACACCACAGTTTCTTAAAAACTGTAATTTTACAGTAAATTAGTATAGATATCTTCAGCCTATTGAAATTGAGAAACCTTTCAGCATTCTCATAAGCAAAAAAAATATCAAGGATTTCAGAACTGCTGGGCAGTGTCCAAGATGAAGGAGCAACCATTAGGCAGACTCATTTGCTATAACCACACTTCCTACCAGAAACCTATAGATCCTGTTAAAAACAAACAAAAAACCTATCCAAATTCCTCATTTAATTTTTATGAGTTTATTTAGTCTCACACAGGCACACAGTTTTTAAGGAACTGGACAGCCTGCACCTCACACCAACAACATCTTTCTTGACTATGCTGTACCAAGCAATAAAACATCTGTAGTGCTCCCTTGTAAAGTCCTGATTTAGGGGAGGGCTAGGAGTTTGTTAGAAAATAAGGAATGAAGTCTAGCAATACTGTGAAAGCAAAACAAACAAAAAAAACAAAAAAAGAAAGAAAGAAAACAAGATCATGAACACTGCTTTCATGCATGACATCTCTCTATGCAGAATTTTCAAGGGACTCAATTATTTATGACCAAAGTGAAACTAAGTTCTTGGCTAAGAAACTCCTCAATCTTAATGTCTCTATCCCACTGTGCCTATCTGAATTGTGTTGGGCAAAAGGCTGTGCACAGACTTAACCTTGGAAATCCCACATACACCACCACCCCTATGCCCAGAGCCCAACTCCCCAATGCCTGGCCCTCTCTACTCTCAACTTTTTCTTTATTCACCTTTCAAATAGCAGAAGCCTTACTGTAACTCCCTGATCACCCTTCCCATGTCCTTATACATATCTCTTCACATGGCTGTAGCTGGTGAAATACAGTTTACATTAATTAGAAAAGAGTCATCCACATACTGAAAATGCCAGCCATCACAGATGTTCAGTGCTATTTTATGACAACCATGTTCCCTGATTCAGCTCCCTTTAGAAGAGTCAACATTAGTCCAGACTGATACAGAAAATCATTCCTTCTAGACCATTAACCTTGGCAGACACATTTGGATAGTGCTGTCAATCAGTTATAATAGATTATGCATTTGTATCGGCTCATTCTCTTAGATCACAAACTTTTCAGATCACTGAAATAATTTTTACCTCTCCCCACTACCACCTCACACAAATACCAAGTAACAGACAACACAGAAATATAACATATAGATTTAGCTTAAAGCTGGAGAAAAGTACAAAATTGAAAAGGTTTGTAAGATGTTTCTTTCCCATCACTCTGGGACCCCTGGCACCCCACGATCTCAGTCTTAACAGTTGGACCTCAAGAGAATGAACCTCACACCTCACATGAGTTTTCCCTTGGCAGATAGCCTAGAACATAAATGAAGAAAACAGCAGGGCATTCAAAAATCCAATTGCCTTGGATAGTTATAGGAGAATAAAATGAATATGAGTTCTAGTCTCAAATCTGCCATGTATTAAAGTTAAAACTGCTTACTTATCTGTTAAATCCTTTCTCATGGAACTGTTTCAAGGAACCACTCACTGAAAGGAATTTAGTTTCCAGTCTATAAACCAGAATCAGGGACAAGAATTAATTCTCTCTTCCCTGACCAAGATCCTAGCTGCCCCTTGCCCTGTACTTCCCATACATATTACAGGGAGAGCACCAGCTCATAAATGGAATGGAAGGAAACGTGCCTGTGTCAGAGGCCCCAGGGCTTGCTAGAGCCTTACCTTCCTCCTCCTCACTGCTTCCTGTAGGCCCATCTGGCAATTTGGAGCGGCTGGCCAACTTGTCACTGGTTGTAGCCATGGTGAGAAGAAAAGCATAGCCCAGAAACAAAGTCTTGTTGAGGGGCAAAGGCCCTCTCTGCTCTTCCAGGGCAGAAGGTTCACCTGTGTTGTCTCCACTCTCGCAGGGGCTCACAAACTCTCCTGCCCCCACTGCTCCTGGGAAGGACAGAGGCAGTTACTAGAGGATACAGCCCACTGCCTGGGCAAAGGCCCCTGATGGGTAGGCAATGTTTTGATGAACCTTTCCGAGCTATGACCATTCCTATGACCATTTACATCCACTGTAAATGGACAACCACCTAGAACCAAATTTACAATTTAGAGAAATTTATGGATTTAAGTTTTACACAGTATACACATGACAATGTATACAGTGTTTTCATAAACGGAAATAAATTGCTTTTAGATAGCCAAACCAAATACTTTGAGGTCATCTGAAAAAAAAAAAAAATAGTAACTCTAATACAAAGTAAGTAAGAGTGAAAAGTGTTTGGAAATCTTCGGCCACTCTCTCTGCCCAGTGCTGATTTACCCCAGGATGTGTGATATTCTGAAGCAGCCCTTTTTAAAAAATTAAGAACTAAAAACCAAAATAAAATGAGAACACTTTTATTACCAAGCAACAGCCCCAGCATCAGATCCTCCCATCCCATCTGTGACCCTCACCAAAATGGTGCAGAGAATACTTGGTAATAAAGCATTTGACCTGTGGGTAGAGCCACATCAAGAGACCCTGCAAAATTGGCCCCATTTCCAACACCTGGGTAGTAGGTAAGTGAACCAGTCAGTCCAGGACTCCCAGAACACTCATGCTAGGAGTGCCCCCATCAATCTTTGAGAAGAAAGCAAATACCTGACCTGGAGAAGCTGAATTGTAGGTTCATTAGGAGGCCAAGATGACAGACTGGTCATGCATGCCTCCCTAAAATAAAACCAGCAGCGAGAGAACAGTCTCAGGCATTACGAAGTAATATGTACAAAGCTGGACTTCAAGGCAAGACTACCTGAATTTGAAGTCTGGCTTATTTTGTCATCTTACCAAAATTAGCCAACCTTTCTGTGCCTCAGATTCTTCAACTGCAAAATGAATTTAACATCTATACTTAATAGGAATTACATATAAGTTAATGTATATAAAGTACTGAGCACCATACCTCACATACTAAATATTCAAGACTAGGTTACCTAATGTTTGAAGTACCTTGAAACATACTAGTGATATTGGGTAGATAAGGAGATGACACACGTTAAAATACAAAGGATCTAAAAGGAGTTGAGGTGCCAAGACAATGGAATTTTATCAGTTTGTTAATCTGAGAGATCTATCAGGGCAGACAGAAAATTTGTCTTTTTCTTTAGAGAAGACATTTTTGCTATAGGGCTCATGTGCTTGCTAGAGAGATAAAGAGACAGAAAGCAAGAAATCACTCCCCAGGGGCATGGCTATGCCCCAATCCCTTCTCTTCCAGTCTTCTTTCATGATTTTGGGCATGCATGCACACGCACCTGGTACGACTTTTAAATTGCCAGGTCCAGGACTTGAACCATGGTCAAATACGTGGGAGTCCAGCGATGTAACCATTACGCCATCTGCTGGTCCCCGGACTGAGGATTTTAACCTGGATCTCCAGAACACAGAGCTGCTAGGTCTCAGTCACAGTAGGAACCAATAAACAGATGAATCAACTCCTCTTTCTTTTATTGCCAACTACATACGCACTCAGCAGAGAGAAGAGAGGGTGTGAAAAAAGAATGAGGTGTGGTCATACCGTAACCCTCTTTCTTCCATTTCTCCATCCCTTCAGGACTTGGACATGCACACATATGTGGCATGTTTTTTAAAATGCCGGGGCTGAGATTTGAACGCAACTGGCTGTGTGGGATCTGCCTTTCTGTGCACAGTGTTATCTGCTACACCAACAGGGCCATCCCTGAACTCCTTTTAATACTGAACATAAGAGACCAGAAGGGGTTGTTTATGGAAGAGTGGGGAGAAGGGAGATGCAGGCTGGGGTACAACCTCTGAATACAAAGTATGAGAAAGCCAGAGGGCTCAGAGCACAAGGGAGAGGGGAACAGAGTCTCCAGGAGGTAGAAGATAGCTCAGGCAAAGGAAGAGAACTAAGACAAATCTCACTTTTGAATACACTTAAAATGTAATACTTCTCCTTTCCCTCCTGAACCCGCACAGGGGTCAACAAGTGTTAGTGATCATGTCCTAGCCTCCTACCTCCCTCCCTTGAACTGTGCTGGGCGGATTAGGGAGGGATACAGTAAGCTGTCTCTGAGGACCACCTGTGGTCTTCTGCAGGACCCCAATTTTGTAGCCAGGACAGAGGCCACTGTCACTTATGTCCATCATTCTAGCAGCTGACCCTGCATTTAACCATGATCTGAGGGAGAATGAGGCAAAAGGGAGCACTCACCAGGCTTCACAGCTGCAGACTTGCGGCCTCTCTTGGCAGGAGACCTCTCCTCTTCAGAAGTGATAAGTTTTCTTTTGCCTGAGGGAACGCCCGTGGAGGCACGGGGACTTTCTGTGATCTTACGAGTAGGGGTTGTGCTGCTGCTGCTGCTGGAGGCAGTAGGGGTGGCTGGGGAGCTGATATTACTGCGCCGTTTCCGCTTCCCTTCAACCAAATTATCTAGGGGAAGATAACCCAATGGGTTGGTAGAGACTCACAGTTTGAGGCCCTGAACACTGAGAAGCTATGCAAAGTCTCATTTAGACACCACAGTGCCCTTTCTTCCACCTCCCATGAGGGGGCAGGAAGCCTCTTTTCTTTTCTTTTTTGAAAGGTTTTTTTGCTATAGGGCGTGTGCGCTCGCCAGACAGACAAAGAGAGAAAGAGAGATAGAAAGCGAGAAATCACCCCCCAGGGGGGATGGCCTCGCCGCAATCCCTTC